GCTGCTGGAGCAAAGGCTCGCGGCTGCTGGCTGGCGCTGAGAGGCGAGGTGCAGCACGTGCGGTCGTGCAGAGGAGCAGGGCGCTGCTGAGGGCAGCGCCATAGCCCAGCCACCATAGCTGGTGGGCTTGGACTACAGTGAAGCGCAGGGGTGGTCTTCGGGTGAAAGAGAGGACAGGTGTGGGTGTAGTCAGGGGATAGGTGAAGGATGATGATGATGATGATGATGTGAGGGCACTTACCTTGTATTGGCGATGGTCTGCATGGGCGATATCTTCAAGTACTTCGGGCTGCCGCTGATGTCAACAGTTGCATTGTCATTTTGTAGTCTGTAGTATCTGTGTAGGAGTAGGTTGGGCGCTGAGCGCCAAGTGTGAGTGTGAAGGAATTGGACTCTTGTGTTGGGAGGAGAGAGTATACTCTCCATGAACATTGGTTTTCAGTGCTACGAACCTCCATTGGTGCATTATTGGTGCAATGCTGCTCTCTGGACACGGTGTGACTATTTGGCTTTCAATGTGATGGTGTGATCTGGAATTGTCATCTCGCTGTTACTTATTTTCCTTGCAATTTGGTATCGGAACTGGTTCATATTGCGCTTCATTGGTTCCTCGCAATAGCTATTGGTGCTTCGCATAAGGTGTGGGGCAGTGATAAGGCATTGGCGTTGAACATTGGGCGGCCCAGGGTAGAGTGGGCGCGCCAGGGAGCTATGTGGTGACATACGGGATGTATGCTGGATGATTAAGCCGAGGTGGAACCGCATTCTGCTGTTGGTTGTGCTGAGGCAAAGGCCGGTTATCATAATTGCCCATCAGGTTACCGGTGAGAAATCTGTGGTTGGGGGCAGCATTTATGAGGTACGTTGCTCTCTTCCTTATCTACCCTCTTCATCTCTTCTTACCATGAGGAAGTGAGTTTTGTCTTGAGAGTCCTCTCGATGTGAGGTGTCGCGAGCGCTCAACCTTGAGAGTCGACATTCTTCCTGGGCAGCAAGCTGGTGGGAGACGGGCGAAGCCTTTGAAGGGCCCTGGACGAAGCACTCGGGTCACGGTCACTGGGACTAGTACACACACGCTTGGGCAGCAACCGCTGCTTACGCAATAGAGGTCGTGCAGGGCATGCCAGCCTTTTATGAGACGCCTACCAGACTGTCTATAAATATTTCTGGCTGGGGGCTCGGATCTGAATCTGGTTGTGATCGTAGTCATGTCTGCGACGTCAAATAATTCCTGAGGAGATGGGGGCTCTCCTTAAATCCCTCCTGATCAGCCAGATCAACCGGGTGTAAGGCTCGTACGAGGGTAAATAAGAGTGGACTAACTGGCATGTTCGGCAATGACTTGGGGCACAGGGGTGGGCCAGATTGCACACCTTTAGACACGCTGCTCAACCAGATGCTCAGGAACGTTGACACAAAGAGACCACTCAAGAAGGATACAGGGGGAGGGGGGATTCCGGTAACTGTTCACAGTGGCAATCAACTATCAATCTGCCATCCAGTATACATCTCCAACAGGAGATGTTATTTTTATTTTGATTATCTAGTTGTTACCGACTTGACTAACAACTGACAGACAACTACAGATAGATTGGATCTTTGCTGTGGTGCAATCTGTTCCAGGGTAATCTAAAAATAAAATAAATATATTATGTAGGACCTAACATTAGTTGTTAATATATCACCTAACTGTTTCTGTTCCAGCCGATCGAAATTAGTTGATCGGTTGTGTGTCAGGCTAAGGTAGGATTCAATGTGGATTCTAGTTTAGATCACACACACTGTAGCTCATGAGTGATGCAAGCACTAGTGAGGAGGAGTTGCTAGTGGACGACCGTAGGACAACTCGCGGGACTGCTCGTAGTCGACCCTTGACATTCTTGGAGTTAGGTCCAGGAGACGAGAGAAGGTTGTGGAGAGAGGCTAGAGAGAGAGCAGCAGCAAGGAGAGCGAGGGCAACTGAGGATAGTGCCAGGACTAGAATTTCAGCTAGTACCGGTGCAACCATGGCTACCTCATCCATGTTGCAAGTCTCTACACAGTCCACTTCGTCAGGAGTCAGTTAGAGTGGTTCTCAGGTTTCCACTAGTCAGATTGCTAGCTTGCGAGTCAGC